ACTATTTCTGGCAGTCTGCAACCCCCCTCAGTTTGCACTATTTCTAGCAGTCTGCAAAGGCCCCCTGTCTTTCAACAGAGGCTGGATGGGCCTCTTTCAGGAGAGCTTTAGTTGTGTGTTCCTGCGTGGCAGAATGGGATTGGAGTATATGGCCCCTTGTGGTCCCTTCCAACTCTAAGGTGCCATTCTATGGGATTTCAATCATGCAAATGCATTGGGCCAGGTTTCCCATTTCCATTTCCCTACCAATGGTGAGAGCATTTGGATACAGCATGTTCTTGTAGTTTTATGCACTACAGGAGCTTTCAGAGGTCTCATGTCTGTATGTAACGTTTCCAAGAGTAAGGACATTTCAACAGAGGGTGATGGTAGTGAATGTATATTGAACTTAGGCTATCACCTTAACCACAGTTTCCTGAAATACACCTTGTGGCACCTGACAACAAATATAAAGGAAGGCAAGGAATACTCTTTGTTTACTTTCTCACTCATTAAAAGGCAGGGAAAGGGTCACAGCAAAAGGCTGATAAACGCCATAAGATAAGACAAAACACGTCTTCCAAGACAAGCACATAATGTACCAAGTCGGATCTCATGGGTTATTATGACTGGGCTGGGGCTTCATACTTTTTTATTGAGCCATTTGCTCAGTTCCACAGCCAGATGTGTTCATTATTGATCCCTCACGAGCAAAAGAAGTGCTGGGTCACAACAAAGGGCCTGCCTAGTCGGTCGATTCAGAGGATTGTAGAGTTGGAGGACCCCAAGGGTCATGTAGTCCAACCCACTGGTGAGAATGAAGGAAATCCACAGCTGCAGCATTGCTAGAAGCAGCCATTTAATCTCTGTGAATCATTCTCTTCCACAGAACGGACAAAAGTTTGCAAAACAGGATTGGGGCACTTTATCAAACCCCCCACCTATGAAAAGCCCCACCACCACCACCACCTTTTGATATTTGATATTTTGCTATTGCATACAGTCACCGTCACCCCCAATATCCATGGATTCAGCCAGCCTTCAAAATATTCAAGAAATAAATTCCAAAAAGCAAAGCTTGATTTTGCTGTTTTGTATAAGGGACACCATTTGACTATGCAAGCCTATATAATGAATGGGACTTGAGCATCCATAGATTTTGGTATCCAAGGGCGCTCCTTGAACCAAACCCCAGCAGATACACCAAAGTTGCACTGCATTTCAGTTGTTGTTTATTTATATATTGCCATCAATTTACATTCTGGGGTTTGTAGTTTGTTGTTTCAACCGACCCAACTGGCAGAGAGATTTTTCAAACCCTTCAATCTGGGATTTTTCTGGGAGGTTTTTTGGACAAATGGTTGGCCTAGTATGAAAAGCTCCAGCAAAGTAGAGTCTACAAATGTTGTTAGCAGAGTAGCCACTCTCCAGGTGTAAATAGAGTAGTCAGTTTCCACTGTCCACACCTCTACTAGCCTCTTTCTTTACTATACTAGCCTCTTTCTTTACTATCCCTTGGCCATCTTGGGAGAGCTATGTAGTGGTCATACTTCCTCTAAACATGCAGGTAATATGTAGCCATCATGACCTAGTATCCATCCTCGGAGAGTAGTGGAGTCTCCTTCCTTGGAGGTCTTTAATAATTAATAATAATAATAATAAAAAATAAGTTTTATTTATAACCCGCCCCTCTGCTCTGCAATCGGGGCGGGGTACAGCAAGTTAAAAATACAGCAAGTAAAAACATCCCATCCTCTCCCCCTGACCCTCCCACCCCTTAAAACAGGATTAAACTATTGTCAGATTAAAATCAAATTACACAATTAAAAGCAGAGGCTGGATAGCCATCTGTTGGGGATGCTTTGATTGGGAGTTCCTGCATGGCAGAATGGGATTAGACTGGATGGCCCTTGTAATCTCTTCCAACTCTATGATTCTGTGATTCTATGATAGTCCCAAACTGCATGAATTTCTCTAATCTCACTTTAAAACTGTCTAGGGTGGCACTCGCAACTAAATTTGATGCAACAGCCCACAGAGCCGTTGCAATTCTGGCCTGCTCTGCATTGACAGGAGTAGAGTGTCTAGATCAAAACAAATAGTTGAGCTCATACTAGGCCTTAACAAATTGGAGAGCTGGGCCAGAACTAACAAAATGAATTTCAACAGGAAGAAATGCTAGGCCGAAAAAGAAATGCACAGATAAAGGATGAGGGACACCTGGCATGATAATAGTACGTGTGAAAGGATTTAAGAGTCTTAGTAGACAACAAGGTGAAGATGAGCCAAGAGTGTGATGCAGCAGCTAAGAAAGCCAATGTGATTCTAGGCTGCATCAATAGAATTATAGTGTCTAGAGGGAAGTAATAGTGCCTCTTTATTCTGCTTTGGTCAAGCCTCACCTAGAATAATATTGTGTCTAGTTTGGGGCATCACAGTTCAAAAAAAGATGTAGATAAACTAGGGTGTCCAGAGGAGGGCAACCAAAATGGTGAAAGGTCTGAAAACCAATAAACCCTATGAGGAGAGATTTATGGAACTGGGTATGTTTAGCCTGGAGAAGAGGTAGTTAAGAGGTGACATGGTAGTCCAGGTTAAATATTTGAAGCGTTGTCATATTGAGGATGGAGCAAGCTTGCTTTCTGCTGCTCCAGAAGGAGCAATGGCTTCTGGCTGGGGAATTCTGGGAGTTGCAGTAAAAAAAAACAACAAAAAAACAGGAACCTTTTCCAGTTTGGTGAGTACAAAATTTGGTAGGAGAGGACTATGGATTCCAAGAGTGTTTCTTAATCCTTGCACTACACAAACTCAGAGAAGACTTGGACAGGACACGGACACACACGGCAACTTGCCTGATTTCATCCATGTGCGTTGTGTCCTTAGTGTCCAGCTGTTTCCTTCTTTCCAGAGGAAGCATCCATCTGTGATGCCAAAAGCCAGCTCCCCCCCCCCCTTCTTTTGGCTTGCTGGGGTTTGGATCTACGCAACAGTGGCAGGAAAGCCTTGGAACAAAATTACGGTAGCCAAGAAAGAAGGGGGCAAGCTGGAGTTGGGAGAATATTAAGGCATTCCACCCCAAAATAAATCTCCCCTCATTAAATGTGCCTTCAGTCCTTACATTTCTAGCATCCTGCTGTTGTTTCCATATACAGTGAGTTCTTACTTTCTGCTGGGATTTGGTGCTAGGACCCCGTCAATATCAAAATCCAAGGTATCTAAGCAAGTCTATATAATGGGACTTGAGCATCCACAGATTTTGGGTTCCACAGGAGGTCCTGGGACCAAAGCCCACCAGATACCAAAGGCCCGTTGTATCTCACCAAAGTACAAATCCCAGGATGGCATAGGATCGAGCCAAAGCAGTTAAAGTAGCATTAAAGAACTCTAATGTGATGGATGGGGTATGCAGTAGAGACTGATCGGGGCACTGTAACCTGCCAAGTATGTTATTATTTTTACATTGTCTATGTTTTTATTCTATGTTTATTGTAATTTTTAATCATTTTGTTATTTAATGCTGTTTTAGGGGGATGGGATGGTTTGGTTGAAATGATGTGCGGGTTTTTACTGTAAGCCGCTTGGATTGTTGTCATTAAGCGGGATACAAATAATAATAATAATAATAATAATAATAATTGTGAGGCAATGTGTCCTCCTTACTTATTATTATTATTATTATTACTACTACTACTAATGGTGTGGCCTGAAAGGGTCCTCTCTTGCATACAAATGTGCTCAAAATGCTTGGGAAAAATTCGGTTGGTGCTACAGAGAAACTCCAGCATCCCAAGCAGCAAAGACGCATTGGCCTGAGCTGAGAGCTCCCATTCTCTCTTTGCTACTACAAAAGGAAATCCCAGGTTTCCTTCCTCCATCCTCCTTGCAATCCAAGAAGAGAAGTCAGACGCAAATGGGAACTGCCTTGCGTTTCCTTTCTTCCGATCCGCATGTCAGGAATGTAGTTTGGGGTCAGCCTAAGACGCACATGGACCAAGGACCATCCGGGATAGGAGGGGGATTGAAAAAGGAAAAATTCACCAAGTTTTGTAAGGCATCCAAGAGCTGTTAACCCAAGTGGATGTTCAAAGGAACTGGATGAGCGTGTCCCACGATCCCCATCAAAAACTATGATCTTGAGTGACCCAAGGCCATTTTTTGCTGGTTATTTTTCCTGCTGATGCAAAGGAACGGTCTGGGTTTTGTTTGTAAGAAAATACAGATTGTTCCTGCTGACATTTTAAAACAAAGCAGTGTACCCCATACTGCAAAAACCAAAACATCAGCACATGGCACACAGATGTGGTTTGAAATGGTTCCAGTTCTGGCATGATGGAAATCTAGATCTGCCCTTGGCCAAATCACTCCGTCTCAGCCTCAGTTGTTGCTGTGGGCCTTCAAGCCATCACCAATTTACGGCAACCCAAAGGCAACCCTATCATGAGGTTTTCTTGGCAAGATTTGTACAGAGGAGGTTTGTCATGGCCTTCCCCTGAGGCTGAGAGTGTGTGACTTGCCCAAGGCCACCAAGTGGGTTTCATGCTGAGCTGGGAATTGAACCCCGGTTTCTAGAGTTGTAGTACAACACTCAAACCACTATGCCACACTGGCTCTGTGACATCACCATACAAATACTTTAATTGAAATCCTTGTCAATCGAGTCAGGTGAAATTCATCTTGTCCTTCCTCTCAAAACAGTAGATCTGTTCAGTTGCCTCTAATGGACTTCTTGTGACCAAGAAGACCGGATGCCTCTTTCATTCCATTAAAGGCTGGTCATGGGGGTCCCGCTCCGTCCTTCCCCTCCTAATCCATATAATCTCCACCCTTGTCCCTTCCTCAGAAGACTGGGAAATTTGTTTGCTGTGGCATATATCAAGTCAAAAATTAAAAGTTATACACTTGAAGATCTCCAGTGTTGTTTTTTAGCTTGTGACAGTGGGTTTGAGGAGAGTCTCCGAGAAAATGTCCACTACCTTCATGAACGTTCATTTCTTCTTCCTGGTGATGCTCCTGGCTCTAGTCGCAGCTATCTGTAAGTATGAAGGGTGTGTATATGCAAGCGCCTTCAAGTCACCTCTGGACTTATGGGCGACCCTATGAATTTCATCGGGTTTTCTTGGCAAGGAATCTTCCAAGATGGTTTGCAAGTTCTATCTTCTGAAACAGAGCCTACAGCACCTGGGATTTGTTGGGGGTCTCCCATCCAAGGACTAACCAGGACTGACCCTGTTTCCAAGATCAGGGGATCTGGTGCCTTTAGGGTATTTATTTACCTGAAGATATCGCCCTTAATATTATCCAGTAGAGTGTTGTTGTTTTTAGCTGGAAGAAAGTTACTTTTTTGGATTGCAACTGACGCTATCCCCCAGACAGCAGCTTCTGGAAGCTCTTGTCCAAAAATTATACTTTACAAGCTCTTATTTTATCCTTCTTCCCCATGGATTTTGTCACCATTCCTCAAATGTTCCCACTTCCTCCTGTTTTATCCTAACAACAGCCCTGTGAGGTAGGCTTATGGCAGCACTGTCCTTCCAGTCACCCCGCTCTGTGGATCCCCACTCAGTTATTACTCTTCTAATAGTAAGAAGGACACATTGCCTCACAATATTTTAGCAGTCCCAAATACGCCACAGATGTGGAATGTAGCTCTCACAAGCTTCCCATTGCTGATGCATGACCTGTTTGGTGATGTTTTATCCAGATTCTAGGCATGGTATGGAGTTGGGGGTTTCCCTCCCTGTTTTGCTTTTTTTGTGGTTTACTTGTTAGCTCTGGTTCCAAGTGTTCCTTTAAAAGAAAGTCTCTGGGGAATTTAGCTCTTACAAGCTTTCCACTTCTGATACACAATGCAATAAAGCAGAGTTGCCATATTACCTCCTCGAAGCCGCCTCGATTGCTATGCAGAGAGGTGGGGTATGAATAATTTATTATTATTATTATTATTATTATTATTATTATTATTATTATTACCTGGCTGGTTATATTTTATCCAGATTCTAGGCATGGTATGCAGTTGGATTTTTTCCCCTATTTTTGGGGGGCGGGAGGGGTTCTTTTCAGACTATTAGCCCAGATTCCAAGTGTTCCTTTAAAAGAAAGTCTCAAATTCTTTTGGAAGTCAAGAGATAAAGCTAAATGTGCAGCCCTTTTGCAAGCCTCTTGTTACCTAAATGCAGGAGTCCGAGAAGGGCACCCACAATTAATATTCAATAGGGGAATTTTATTAGATCAATTAAAAGAAGCCAAGAGGGCTCAGGCAACTCAAAGCAGGGATCAAGCCTGTGTATACCGTTTCTGAGAAACAGAACTCTAGAGTGCAAGTTCCAAAATAGTTTTATTCTGAATCAAAGAGAATTACCATCCACACAAAGGCACTCACTCACACACACCTTCAAAAACGAATGAAGGAAAGGTGGTAGCAGACGTGATTTAAGAGGTTGCAAAGGGTGATATTGTGCTAATTCCAGAAGTGGGGCTCCAATCAGAGGAATATTGTGAAAGGGCAGTGGCGCAACAAGCCGTCTGAAGATCATAGCGTGGCCAGCAATGCTGAGGAGTCAAACAACGCGGACAGAGAGTGTGTCTGACTGCAAGTGAGACCAAATTGGTAATAATAATAATAATAATAATAATAATATTTATTTAATACCCCGGCCCTCTGAGCACAATCGGGGCAGCTTACATCATAAAATTATCAACAACGGTTAAGAACAATTACCTCCCCCTCCCCCCCTTAAAAAGTTATTAAACCCAATACAATTTAAAAAGAAACACAATATAAGGAGGTAAATTCCTCCATTAAAAAACAAATAATACATAAAAGAAACAAAAAGTGCCGACGGATGTCGGATGCTGGCTCAAGAAGGAACCCCATCACAGAAGAGGGAAGCATCTCGGAGGGAAGAAGATTCAGGAACCAAGCTAATGAATTAATCCGGGAAGGCCTGCCGGAAGAGATCCGTCTTGACAGCTTTCTTGAAGCTGTCAAGTGATGACAATTGGTATATTTAGTCTGTAAAACCTATCACAGGGCAGAATTCGGGATTAAAGTGGAGTTTCCAGGAGAGAGGAATGAGAAGGGAAGCTGCGAATGGCCAGACAATCAGTGCAAATGTCTCTGGACAATCATCATATAATCATAGAGTTGGAAGAGTTCCCAACCCCTTGCCATGCAGGAAATCACAATCTAAGCATCCCTGACAGATGGCCATCCAGCCTCTGTTTGAAGACCTCCAAAGAAGGAGTATCACTCCCAGAGAGAGGTAATCTTGGACTTCTGTTCATTTGTAAACAGTAGATCTGTCACCCACCATCACTCCTACTGGCAAAGGGATTATGCAGATTCTGATCTATCCTTGGCTATGTACCGTACTCTTGCACTCCCCCATGATAAGTCTCCTGGGTCCCCAAATATGGTCCCAAATCTACTCATATGGCATGGCTAGTTTCCTGCACTGAAGGCACTTGTGAGGCTACATGCCTCAGACATCCCTTTTGATATCAACTTAATATCAGAAAAGGATGAGTGGATGGAGGGAGGCTCGACCTTGGGGGTAACACCCTCTAAAAGCCAAGATAAGAGGCCAAATGTGTAGCCCTTTTGTTCTGTAATCAAAAAGCCTGAAGTTTCCTTTCACTGTTTAGCCAATGAGTAAACTGACACTGTTGCATTAAGATTAAATTGTAGAGTGACTGTCTAAATTTATGGCTTAGAGAGGACAATAAACCTGGATCTACCAAACCCAAGGGTGCATCTACACCAACGGTTCCCAAACTTTGTGATCGCCCAGATGTTTTGGACTTAATCTCCCAGAATTCCTGAGTGTGGACCAAGCTGGCCGGGGTTTCTGGGAGCTGAAGTCCAAAACACCTGGAAGACCAAAGTTAGGGAACCACTGGTGTGTAGATGCACCCTTGGGTTTGATAGATCCAGGTTTATTGTCCTTTCTAAGCCATAAATCCCAAAATTGTGGGAGAAAGGCAGGATATATTGTATATACAGTCTGCCCTTCCTATAAGTGGGGGATCCATTCCAGACCTCCGATGTAAAGCAGAAAATGTGGGGTCTCGAGTCCTGTTTGTTTTAATGGGCAAGTGCAGCACACACACACCCATTCATTTTGGGCATGTTTTATTTAAAGTTAATTTATATGTAAGCCGCCTTGATTGCCATGGCAAAAGGTGGGATATAAAAATAAAGTATCACTATTACTATTATTATTAAATTCCCTAGGAAAAAAATTGCAGTTTGGGGAGAAAACCCCTCTCAAACATATTTCCCATCTGCCCTCTTGTCAGACTGTGATGGCTTGACATGAGTTTCCTTTATTTATTTCTCCTCCCACACAACATAGGAAAAAAGCAACAACCCTATTACAAGGTATATACGGCTGAAAAGAAATGGCTAGCTCAAAGTTACTCTTTAAACTTTGCAAGCAAGCAAGGATCTGAACATGCCCTCCTTGTTCTGAGTCTATCACTATAAACCATTATTCTATTCTGGGTCTCTCAGATCAATGTCTACTGTCGAAATTGTGTTGAGGTTGAAAAATAGCAATACATGAACAATGAAACTGTTAATGTCTTTCATTTGCATGCTAGAAGTTTTGCATTATGCTATAAATCGGTAAACAGATGTGCATGATGCGCCAGTTGATCTACCCAGATTTGGGGAACTAGCTTATGGCAACCCTACAAGAGAAAACATGTTTGAATTTAATTTATGCTTTGTGTATTTGTCCTGTAACAGGCCTGGGCATCTGTGAGGAGCAGTGGGGCTGTGCCAACTTTCGGGGGTTCTGCCGCAAAGCGTGTTTTCCCCAGGAGAAGTCCCTGGGGCCTCAGGACTGTGGAGAAGACTTTGTGTAAGTCTTGTGTCATTTCCTACACCTTTCTTTCTGGCCCTGTCCTCTGTGTTGATCTGAGGAGAGCTTGGGAAAAGTTATTTTTTGTGGGGGACTGCAATGGCCAGAATCTCTCATAAGACAGATAAAGGAAGGCTGTAGGCTTAACATGGGACCTGTCTGCATGGGCCAAATAAACCATTCTCCCCCGGTTCCCGCAGCAATGAGTCTGGACAATGGCAATAAGATCCAGATGGTATTTTTTAAAAACTCACTTTTTGCTCCAGATCTTCCCAGATTGTGGGGAGGAAATGTGATAAGGAATGATGCCAAAGCAGTCTGCTTCCATTCTTAAACTAGTGCAATTGTGGCAGGACAGTAGGCTGGTGTGACAACGTCCTAATACTCGAACCCAGGGGTAGGCGACCTTTCCCCTTTAAGGGCTGAGGGACTTCAGCTCCCAGAAGCCTCAGCCATGTTGGCCAATAGTCCCATGTTGGCCAACAGCTCCTGGGATTCTGGGAGCTGAAGTCCCTTGGCCTTTAAAGGGGAAAGGTTGGCTACCCCTGCGCTCCCCAGTGCTGGCTCTCATACATTGTCCTGCCCTGCCCCATGCACATGGGCTCTGACTCAGAGACTGAAGGAGTGGACCTGCTGGGATCTGGTACTGAACCACAGCAGATCCCAGAGCCACAAATTTCAAATACAGACCAGAGGGCAGTAACAGCTCTGGCAGAGAATTGCCCATTCAGATTCAGAAGACAA